GCACAATTGGTCGCACGCGACAATTGATCGCGGCGACAATTGATTGCAGCGACAATTGATCGCACGTAAATTGATCGCAGCGACAATAGATCGTAGGTAAATTTATCGCAGCGTCAATTGATCGCAAGGTAAAATTCATCAGGAAGTATTTTCTTTTATTAAAACTAAATATTTTGTATTCTGAATTTTAAGTTGCAATAAATTTAGCAACCAGGTAAGGTGTAAATATCGAATTAAAAACAATTTGAATATAGATAAGTGACGAAGTTTGTAGTTGCACTTTAAAAATTAAAAAATACGAGCGTAAACACCTTGTTACATAAGATTTTTTATTAATAAATTGTCATTTTGGTTATTTTTCTTTAACAGATTGTTTCTATTTATCTCGTTGCTTATTTTACCTATTATATTATAGGAACTACCTTCATTATAATAAGTACTCAACATAAAAACAAGTGTTTATTGTTCTTAACTAGATTACAGTTATTTAAAAAATCATATTTTTAACAACCTTTAAATTTTAACACATTTTGATACAGAATTGCCTCTATTGTCTATTCTTGTCTTTATACATATCACCAAACAATAAAATTTATGAATTAATAGTACATCTAGAGTATCCATATGCAGCGAATGTAAATTCCACTGGACGGATATAATACTTATTTTAATCCCTTGTAAATTGCAACGGATCTTTTACAGGGTTTGAGAAAGGTTTACGTGTATTGTAAATATATATTGCAAAAATAAAAATAAATAAATAATTTTGTGTTACCGGGAAATCTAAGAAATGTAGGTACTTATGCAACTAAAAACTTATTTTTTAGTTATTATTATGTGACTAGTATTGTACTGAAGAAAAATTCAGTTGTACCATATGTGGGTGTAAAAAAATACATATACAGGGTTAGTCACGAGAAAATTATTTCTGAAAATTATTTTTACGCAACCCAAAATACGAATACCATGTACCACTTGATACTAACTGAATTTAAAATGAAATGCTTAATTCATGATTGCTTTGAGTTTGGCAATGTCATTTTGACAATTCTGGAAAAAGAGGTTACGCGAGTGTCCATGGTGGTACCGCAGCCAGTTGGAGATCTCCGCTGGCGCCGCTAATAAGTTTGTCAGGGCTTGCTTCGAGTGCCTCTTGATCTTTTGCAACCGATTAATGACGAGAAAATTATTTCTAAAAATTCCTTTTACGATAGATATTTCTGTAACGTGTAAAACAGCTCTCAGATCTAAAAAAAAGGAAGAAATAATTGGTTCGCAGTTTTCCATGAATGACCCTACTACGGGCTGCTACCTGATTTTATTCTTCTCCGCACTTTGCATCCTACAAAAATTTACAACATGGGCTGGAGAAGCCCACCTACATCCGGGAGATTAGGCAAATAATTCTGAGTGAATAGTCGGCCTTCCGAGTGAAAACTTTTCAAACTTCCCAAGCTAAAAATTAGTCACGTTATTGCGAATAACCACTACTCAGTGGCGTCGTCACCCTGGTTGTTTGTACTTTTTAACGGTATTCACTGTTTGTATTACTTGTTACTCGTGATGTATTGATTGATTTAAATATTTTAAATAATATTAATTAATAGAGAATATAAATCTGTTATGTGCGTTGTTTTATTCAACAAATTTTATTCCATGAGCCGCATCAAAAAAAAAAACTGTACGTCACTGTCATCGGCAGTCTTATCTGGGTAATGAGGGGTACTGTTTATGACACTTTACCGGTTTGGCTCGAAACCATCATTTTAAGTCTGGCACTTCCTCCAGTAGGAGTATATTCCTTTGCTCCATGGTCAAAACTAATCTTTTTACGATCTTGTTTACAGAAATGGTGTAAAAGTGGAGATTGGTATGTAGGTACTTAGCAAAGGGAACGAGATAAATTATTCATTCTGTCGTATCTACAAGCGCCTTATTAACAGTGTGAGCGTTCAAAAAAGTTCTGAATGAAAAAACATCTTTGGTTTTATCATGGATTAAAGATATTCCAGAACTAATTTGTAGTGAGCAAAAAATTGTCTGCAAAGAATGCAATAAACTCCAAGATTAATTGTTAATATATAAATTCAAATTTCTTTGCACCAAATTTATTAAAAAATATATATATTTAATTTTTTAAACTATCAAACGTAATGAAAATAATACTTTTTCACTTAAAACTGTAACGAGAGTTTTTTCACGATTTATCTATAACTTTTTAATTTGACAGTTGTAATAATTTTAAAACCATTTTTTATTAAAGAAAAATGACGTCTAACACGTTTTGAAAGCTATTTTTTTCACTCGTTTAATTGACAAACTTTAAACTTGTGAGAAGAAAAGCTTGAATCACTTACTTGAGCGTCTAATCAATAAGACGAATAATCCAAATGAACATTACAGTAGCATACCGACGAGATGTCAGCATTAAAAAAAATATTTTACAATATTTTCACTTTTTTGCACTTTGGTTTAGTCGGAAATGAGCCTAATAGTTACCGTTTTTATGGAACTCGTATGTATTTATTTTGACACTTTTTTTAGAAATAATGAAATTTTTGAGAATATAGCACATTAATTTATTTTTCTCATTCATAACAATTACTTATTTCTCTATAAACGCTATCATTTTTCGCCTGCGATCAATTGTCGCATGCGACCAGTTGTACTTGCGACGAATTGTGTTGCGATCAATTGTGACTGCGACCAGTTGTCGTTGCGACCAGTTGTCGCTGCGACCAATTGACGCTGCGATCAGTTGTTTGCGATCAATTGTCGCGCGACGAATTGTGCACGACGAATTGACGCGGTACCCTCAGAGGGTTATCGTTACTGCCTTACCATGGTAGATCGGTACACCCGCTGGCCAGAAGCCGTACCCATTAGCGACCAGGAAGCAGCAACCGTGGCACGAGCTTTTTACGACACATGGATCGCACGATTCGGCACCCCGCTACGAATAACCACCGACCAAGGTAGACAATTCGAGTCGTACCTATTTAAACAACTAAATTGTTTATTAGGAACCACTCATTTGAGAACTACAGCCTACCACCCCTCAGCCAACGGAATGGTTGAACGCCTACACCGACAGTTAAAAGCGGCAATCATGTGCCACCAGAATAATCGCTGGACTGAAGCCCTATCCACCGTCATGCTCGGCATTCGAGCAGCATGGAAAGAAGACTTCCAGGGTTCCTCCGCGGAGCTCGTATATGGCCAACCTCTCCGCCTGCCCGGTGAATTCCTAGGCATCCCACGCGACGAAAACAGCGCAGACAACAGCACCCCAAACTTCGTCAAATAGTTACGTCAACACGTGCGTAACTTGAAGCCATGTGAGGGAACACGACATGGAGCAAAGAAGACCTTCATTTTTAAAGATCTCGCCACGTCCGAACAAGTTTTTGTACGCCACGACGGTCCCAAGCAGCCGCTTCAACAGCCATACGACGGTCCGTACAGAGTCGTAAGGCGATCGGCGAAAACGTTCGTCATCAACATCAAAGGTCGAGATGTCACCGTTTCAATAGATCGGCTCAAACCCGCGTACATACTCAGTGACGACACGCCCACGTCAGAGTTTGGCCGCGACACTACGAGGACGACGCCCACAACAGACGAACCAGCGCCCTTCGCAGATCAACCCCACGACGACGACGAGATGCCAGCTTCCACAACGACGAGGACCACGAGGTCAGGAAGACGGGTGCGCTTCCCTGAGCGCCTGCAAAGCGGTTTTTCATAAAAAAAAAAAACACTAGCAGGGGGGTACTGTAGGAACAACCGTTCCCACAAAATCAGGTGTTCTACCTGAGGGCATTTGTAATATTTGTATAAATGTAAATATTTCCTATCCTTCGTCTACCTGCCCTACACTTCTTCATACTTTCTCTTTTCGCTTCTGGAACTTTCTAAACCCTTCTTTACCTACTTCCACCTCTTCAAATCCGAGCTTACCTGTGTACCATTTTAAACACCCTTCCTGCTTCTCCCTGACACCCTCGAACAGTAAAGAACAAAATAAAAACTCAAAACCGTACCGTCGCTTTTAAATCACCAACAATACCCACACTGTTATCTTTCATTTAAGCAATTTTATTATATCTTATGTAGCATGTAAAAAGTTTTCTCATTAAATGTATTTCTTAATACGAGTATTCTGCGGATAAATTAGTCGTAATATAAACAAAAAGATAATATAATGGACTGGTGGTAGAGAAAGTGGCCCAGAAAAATTTCTGGGCACTGGTTGGCTGTGCAAAGTTTGTCCTCCTGATGATATTGTCACGAAAGAAACCCATACGCCGCCCCTGTACGACGTCTATGGGTCTCATAATATCTGTGTTTATTCTGGTATGTACGGGCGGCGCGGCTTTCGCTGACGAAACGCTTGGAAGCGATTGACAACCCAGAAAACCCTCGAAGCGGTGTTCTCGAACCATCGAGAGGAACATCTAGGTTTAAATAGAGGCTACCTTTGGGAACGATTATTATTCAGCTAACGAATCGAGTTGAGCGCAGACAGACCAGTCAAGTTACCCCGGAATTATTTTCTACATAATCGCTGTGTAATCAGTCGCGTAAATTTGAGTGATTAAGAAATAAATTGAGTTTTACCCAGCTCGTCCAACGTAACAATATTCATGTATTTTTGTGGATATATGTTGTTCATTAATATAATTACATTGGCTTTTATAATAATTTCCTTAGAACTGGGAGTGATATAACCACAAATAACCACGATAAAAAAATCCTTGAACTGTAGCCTCTGATAACAATTGTCAACCATCTGACCCCTGCATCAAGACCGATTTATTAACTACACGTCCCGAAAACATGAAAGTATCCATTCGCCAGGCTTCGAACCCTGTCACAGTGTACTTACAGTTGTTTTAATTTATCCAAAATTGTGTGCAACATGTGTTTAAACTAAAATATTATTGTGTAATAAGCTTTTGGATCTGACATTGGACGCAACATTACTAAACTGTCTGGAGTACCCAGTATTTAACAGAGTTTTATTTTATGAGATAAAACAGTAGGTGCTGTTAAAACTACACACCTAAGTTTGAAATAAAAATCAAACATTTATGTTTTCTTCTGTAAATTAAACTCCTGTGCTTGGTCTCCATTGTCACCCCATAACTGCACAGATGTGCCATGTCGAAATTGAGCATCTACGATGTCTATGTTCTCTCCTGTGTAAACATTTGAAAGACGGCCGTTTTTGTTTATCATATATTCTTGTCTTGAACTCTGTGAGAGCGGTGCCAACTTGAGGAGATATTTATTTTTTTGTGTTGGTCTGTACTGGTAGTCAAGAGCGTCACTGAAAGTTACCATTGTAGAATGAAAGCATGAATTAATCTAAAGTATACTTTACCCTGTATAGTGATTAATAATATAGAAATAACCAGCTTTGCTTGCACGCACAAATTTCCACAACTGGGCGCTATAACCAGTATAAGGTTCTATTTTTACTTGATTAGGGTCAGTTGCATCCAACACCAAATTACTGGAATGTCCACTTCTTATGAGGTACAGTTCATCTTCTTTGTCGAAAGAACTATATGCAAACGCGAGATTTGCAACAAAAAGTAGTGCTACTAAATGCATAGTGCAGTCACAGTAACACGATTTAGATGTAGCAGAAGGTCAAGATGTACTTCGCAAATGGTACTTGCTCTGATGTAACAATCGTTATATTTCTGTAGATAAAACACATGTGGACATACTTTTTTATCACGGACTTTTGTAGATAAAAATTATCCATTTTGGAGATTATTAATATTAAATTAACTGTTAATTCGCAGATATGCGCTTATAATTAATTGTTGATAGTACTGTTCCAAGGATGTTGATTATTTTGACAGAGCTGCTGTTTAGGAATTTCCAAACTACCTGAAGCCTTAACAACAATTAATCGTAATTTTTATTTTTTGTAAATTCACCAATCAAGTTCGTTTTTCTTAATCGTCAGCTAGTGTTAACACAATTTAACAATCAGGATTATTTAAATAAACCACTTACTAGAAGATTTCATGAAATTCATTTAGTCAAGAAAACACCTTTGTTGTTTAATTACGAATAGGTTTCTGGATGCATATATGTAAGTGTTACATTATAACACTTCATAATTCTTCACACTTGATTGCTAATAGTTCATTTGCGGCAGTTAAATTAACAAAATTCATACTGCCAACTGGCGGGGGGTAATTTCTTCCGTTAGGCGGTTATCATAGTTATCATGATCACATCATCGAGGCTTGTCCTCGCAACGCTACAGATTGATTGCTTCATCGAGGCACGTCCTCACAACGCTACAGATCGATTACTTCATCGAGGCATGTCCTCGCAACGCTAGAGATTGATAACATAAACATTTCCTCGCAACTATAAAATTTATATCACCGAGAAGCTTTTTCCTCGCAACGATGATTGGATATTTTTGTGTTTATTTATTATGTGTTTTGTTGAGGTAACCAGTTCGCGCTATACTAAACTCTCAAAGTAAATTGCGTTTTTTTAACTAATCAATCACTTAGATTATGATATAATTTGACATAATGTAAACTCTTTGTTTGAATCGTTGATAAAGTGTGGCAAATATTAATCTCATGTAAATTTTGTTAACTTTGCAAATTTTCACCTCATTCAATGTGTCTCTATCTCACAATTTTTACTTCAGTAATTTTCTTTGTTGTATAATTTCCATTGAACGTAAATTTCATCCATTGCAGTTTTAACCTCACATAATATTTTTATTTGCACAAGTTTATTTCACACCAGACCTTTAATTTTATAAATCTTTGCCAGTTATGTTTTGTAAATATTTTATTGATGAATGTTTCTATGATATAAATTATTTGATGCCCAATTTTAATCTCACATAAGATTTATTTGTTGTTGTGAGACAAGAAAAACAGCAAGGTTATGTCGAATCAGAAAACGATTGAGTGATAAGATTAGTGACATTTTTGCGGCCTGGCGAGAAAGAGCTGATAGTGAGCGAAGCGACAGCAGAGGCGTGCGCCGCACGAGAGAAGACTATTCGCCGCGCAAAGAATCAGCAAAAACATTGAAAATGGAAGAAAGAGAACAAATAAAGCAAGGACAAGAGCCGTTGATGGAAATGATGAAGCAACTAATGGAAGAAATGAAACAACTTAGAGAAGAAAATAGAAGGGTAAAAAAAGAATTACAGACAATAAATGGAATACTGGAAAGAGAAAGAGAAGAATGGAAAGAAAAAGAGAGAAGCTTCGAAAAAAGAATCAATAATTTAGAGAAGAAGTTGGAAAAAAAGAGAGGCAAGAAAGAAGAAACAATTTCATAATTACGAGTATGGAAATAAGGGAAAAAACAGATGCAAAAGAAGTAGAGGAATTTTTTAAAAAAGAAATTGAGGTAGAAGTAAAAGTGTTGGAAACAATAATTATAAGGAAAGAGGAAAGCAAGAAAATACTGGTTAAGACGCTTTGGGACGAAAAACAAGAGGTGATGAAGAATAAAAATAAACTGAGAGGAAAGAGAATATATATTGAAAATGATTGGACAGTACAAGAGCAAAAAATTCAAAAAGGAATTAGAGAGGTAGCTAAAGAGGAAAGAAAAAAAGGATACACAACAAGGGTGGGATATAAGAAGCTGGAAGTAGGGGACAAAATGTATACATGGAATGAAAATAAAGGAAAATTGGAAGACAAATTTCTCAAATCAAGTCATAGGACAAATAAAGACTTTAGGTTTAAGAATGTAGATTTTGTACATAATAGGGGAATGGGAAAGAAGAATGGGGAAGATAAACGTGGTTTAAAATTACTCTTTTGGAATATTGCGGGTTTGAAAAAGAAAGATAATTTATTTTGGGACTACGTGAAAAATTTTGATTTTGTGGGACTAACAGAAACATGGAACTAGAGAGAGACTGGAACAAAGTGAAAGACGTGTTGCCAAAGGAATTTCAGTGGAAATTGCAAGGGGCAAAAAAAGAAAAACGCAAGGGTAGAGCAAAAGGTGGAATCATAACAGGAGTGAAGAAAGATATAAAAGAAATAGAAGAGGGGGCGATAGGAATGGAAGGCATGGTTGAAAGAAAACTGACTGTAAATAAAATAAGATGGAGAATCTGCGCAATATATAGTAGAGGAATGAGAAACACCAAACAAGAAATACAAGAAAAAATCGAAGAGTCCGAAGAAGAATTTCTACTGTTAGGAGGGGACTTTAATGCCAGAATAGGGAACAAAAGCAGGGAAGAAGACGGGGAAAACACACGAAAATCGAAAGATAAAATAGAAAACAAAGACGGAAAATTGCTATGGCAATTAATTGAAGAAAGAGGTTGGGAAGTCTTGAATGGGGTGAAGGAAGGGGACGAGGAGGGGGAATTTCCCTGTATAGGTAAAAGAGGGGAATCGGTAATAGACTACGGAATAGTAAACCGATTAGCAGAAGAAGAGGTAGAAACATTCAAGATAGGAGAAAGAGTGGACTCCGATCACATGCCACTAGAAGTAAAAGTGAGGGGCATAAGTAGAGGGAGCGGATGCTTAAGGAATGAAGTAGGAAAAGAGAAGAAGATATGGGTATGGAATGAAAAAGGAATTGAGCATTATAAAAAAAAATGTTGGAAGTGGAATTTAAAGAAATAGGAACTGAAAAGAAAATGGCAGAATTAAAAAGAGAAATTCAAAAAGCAGCCGTAAGAAAAGAAATTGTAACGAGAAATTTAGAAAAGAGAAACAGATGGTGGGATAGCAGATGCAGAGATTTAAAAACAGAAGCAAGGAAATGTTTACGAAGGTGGAAAAAGGGGACAGGTATAAAAGAAGAGTACTGGCAAGCAAAAAATAATTATAGAAAAGGATGCAAAGAAAAGAAACAAGAGATACAGCAAGAAGAAGAAGAAAAAATTAGAGCCATAAGAACTGAACAAGAGGCATGGCAGTATATAAATAAAGAACGGAAGAACAAAATCACGATTAGTGAAAACATACCTATAATACAGTCGAAGAAACATTTTATGAAACTGTTGAATGGAAAGGAAGAGAGAATTGTAGTGCAAGATAGTAAAACCGGGATTGATGGTAGAGAAAGGGAGGCTGACATTCGAGTAGAGGAAGTAGGAAAACAAGTAGGAAGACTGAAAAGAGGAAAAGCACCGGGGAGGGATGGGTTGGTAAAGAAAGTGTGGATATTTGGGACGGATGGAATGATTGAAAGATTGAGCGAGTTAACGAATGATGTGTGGAGGGGTAAAGGTTTTCCCAGGGAATGGAGAGTAGGGCAAATATGCCCAATTCATAAAAAGGGTAATAAATAAAAAGTAGAGAATTATCGGGGAATAACTCTCCTAAATACGGCATATAAACTGTACGCAATGGTGTTAAATGTAAGGTTGGTGACAGAGATGAACGAAAAGAGTATATTACCGGAAAGTCAAGCGGGATTTAGAAGAGGTAGAGGGGCTATGGACAATGTATATATCCTGCATCATCTAATAGAAAAAGAGTTGCTAAAGGAAGGAGGTCGGGTATGTGCACTGTTTGTAGACATAAGAGCCGCGTTTGATACGGTGGACAGAGAGTGTTTGTGGGAATGCATGGAAAGAAGAGGACTGAGTGAAAAGCTAATTGTAGCAGCAAGAGAGATTTATAGAGAGACAGTCACTAGTGTGAGAGTGCGAAGAATAGAAAGCGAAATGTTTTGGACGACGAAAGGATTGAGACAGGGATGCCCATTAAGTCCCAGTCTGTTTGCTTGTTACATAAGCGATTACGAGGAAATGTTTAGAGGAGTACAAGCGGGAGGAATTGTGGTGATGAGAGAAAACATATGGTGTTTGGCATTTGCAGATGATTTGGTAATATTGGCGAAGGATGAATGTGGAATGAATGAGATGAAAAAAAATCTGCAACGGTACTTTAAAAGAAAGAAAGTGAAGGTAATGTAGAAAAACAAAAATGATGGTATTTAGAAAAAAAAGGGAGAAAAGGGGAGGAAAAAGTGTGGCGTTGGGAAGATCGAATCATAGACACAGTAAAGGAGTTTAAATATTTAGGATTTAAGTTTACAACAACTAACACGGTAAAAGCACACATAAGAGAAAGAAGGGTCAAAGCAATGCAGATAATGGGAGTGGTGTGGAATATAGGTGAGAGAATATTTGGACATGACGTAAGAAGAAGGATGAAAATGTTTGATAGTTTAGTTAGGAGGGTATTAATGTATGGAGTGGAGATATGGGAATGGAAGGAATATGCAGAGATTGAAGCAGTACAAGAAAAATATTTGAGGTGGATGTTAGGGCTACGGAAAGAGACGCCAGGCTATATAGTAAGAGAAGAATGTAAAGGAGAAAAATTAAGAGTATACACTGGGAAAAGAGCTGTAAAGTATGAAGAAAGGTTGAAAGAAAGAGAGGAATGTAGGATATTGTATGAATGCTGGAAGAAAAAAAAAAGGAAGCAGGGAAAGAACATTACAAGGGTAGGCAAGGATATTATGAAAGACTGGGATACGCATGGATGGAAATAGAGAGAAAGAGAGAAATGGGGGTGAGTATGAGAGAAGAGTTGGGTATGCGTGACAGAGACATAGATAAACAAGAGAGAAGAGCGAGTGTAAGTAAATCTAGGTACAATGCAGACTATAGAAAGATACTAACACAAACAATACCAAAGTACCTAGTCAGAGAAAGCGCGAAAGAAAAAAAAATAATTGCGAGATTTAGGTGTGGAAAAGAAGAAAGAAATAATAAGTTTTGGGCAAGCAAAGGTGAGAGAATGTGTAGGATGTGTGGAGAAGGGCGAGAGACGATAGAGCACATGCTGCATGACTGTGAGGAGAGCAAATAAAGAGAGAAGAGTGTGACAGAGATATTGAATGAAGACGGAAAAGGGGTGGAATGGATGAAAGAAGTGGAGAGGACAAGAGTAAGGCTGGGGCAAGGGGGGATGGGGTAAAGGAAAAAAAATGACTTATTCGGTTTATAAAATGTATTTCTTTGGTTGTTATAAATCAAGAATCTTTTAAGCCCGTAGGATAAAAGTAAACACTTACTACTACTACTTACTATTAGATATGTGATATTCAAATATTTGCATTGATTCCAAACAGATGTATAGGATTTTGCGTTTGTTCGTCTTTCATTTGTGTATACCTGTCAATTCGCGAGTGTCTTTTCTTTAATATTGTTAAGGTGTTTCATTTGAAATGATATGTCCGTGAATATACGATAAGGGGTTTTTGAGGCTGGGGAGTGTCTATTAAACTATTATTAACGCGGAAGCTTGGGTTATCACAGGATCTAGTAAATTTTATTTCCTAATTCCATAAATCTTCTAACAGGGGTTTTTATAAAAAGCCTAAAATAGGCTTTAAAAAACTTCAAATTAGGTTATAAAAATGCTGAAATAGGTTCAAAATTCTCTACAGTGTATGTATGTAAATACATCTATACAATATTCTTCTAAGCTTTCGGATCTAACTAACACTGGACGCAACATTACTAAACTGCCCAGAATACGCAATATTTAAAAAACTTTTATTTTTTATCAAAAAAAAACAGTATGTCCTATTAAAACTACACACTTAAATCTTAGTTGTCCGACAAATTCGAAATAAAAAAACAAACATTTATCTGTTTTTCTCTAAAATAAACTCTTGTGCTTCGTCTCCATTGTCAGCCCATAACTGTACAAACGTGCCAGGTTGAAATTGAGCATCTACGATGTCTATGTTCTGTTCTGTGTAAACATTTGAAAGACGGCCGTTCCTGTTTACCATATATTCTTGTCGTGAATTGTGCAGGAGCGGTGCTATCTTGAGAAGATATTGATTTTTTTGTGCTGGTCTGTACTGGTAGTCAAGGGCGTTACTAAAAGTTGACATTGTAGAATGAAAACATGAATTAATCTAAAATATGCCTTACCTTGTATTGTGATTAATAATATAGAAATAACCAGCTCTGCTTGCACGCACAATTTTCCACAACTGGGCACTAGAACCAGTAAAAGGTTGTATTTTTACTTGATTAGGGTCAGTTGCATCCAACATCAAATTATTGGAATGTCCACTTCTTATGAGGTACAGTTCATTTTCTTTGTTGCATGAGCTATGTGCAAATGCGAGATTTACAACAAGAAGTAGTGCTACTAAATCCATAGTGCAGTCACAGTAACAGGATTTAGATGTAGCAGAAGGTCAAGATGTACTACGCAAATGGTACTTGCTCTGATGTAACAATCGTTATATATTTCTGTCGATAAAATACATGTGTACATACTTTTTTATCACGGACTTTTGTAGATAAAAATTATCCGTTTTGGAAACTATAAATACTAAATTAACTTTGAAATTAGCAGATACGCGCTTCTAATTGTTTGGAAAAATCGAAACTACCTCTTTTCCTAAAATACTCGTAAAATTCAAAGTTATAGTCGGCACTTCTTACAATGGCTTTTATAAATAATTTCCTCAGAACTGGGAGCGATATAACCACAATAAAACTAAAACTTAAATTGTAGCCTCAGATAACGATTGCCAACCGTCTGGCCCCTGCATCAAGACGGATTTACAAACCATACGTCGCAGTGTACTTGCAGTTGTTTTTGTTCGAGTTTACCCAAAATTATGTGCAGTCTGTATATGTAAATACATCTATACAATATTCTTCTAAGCTTTCGGATCTAACATTGGACGTAACCTTACTTAACTGCCCAGAATACACAATATTTAAAAAAGTTTTATTTTAAAACTACACACTTAAACCTTAGTTGTCCAAGAAGTTCGAAATAAAAAACAAACGTTTATGTTTTTTTCTCTAAAACAAACTCTTGTGCTTCGTCTCCATTGTCAGCCCATAGTTGTACAAACGTGCCAGGTCGAAATTGAGCATTTACGATGTCTATGTTTTGTACTGTGTTGACATTTGAAAGACGCCCGTTCTTGTTTATCATATATTCTTGTCTTGAATTGTGCACGAACGGTGCCGTCCTGAGGAGATATTTATTTTGTTTTTTTGGTCTGTAGTGGTAATCAAGAGCGTTACTAAAAGTTGCCATTGTAGAATGAAAACGTGAATTAATCTAAAGTACACCTTACCTTGTATTGTGATTAATAATATAGAAATAACCACCTCTGCTTGCACGCACAAATTTCCACAACTGGGTACTAGAACCAGTAAAAGGTTGTATTTTTACTTGATTAGGATCAATTGCATCCAAGACCAAATCACTGGAATGACCACTTCTTATGAGGTACAGTTCTTTTTCTTTGTTGCAAGCGCTATATGCAAAGGCGAGATTTGCAACAATAAGTAGTGCTGCTAAATCCATCGTGCAGTAACAATAACACGATTTAGCTATTACAGAAGGTCAAGATGTACTACGTAAATGGTACTTGCTCTTATGTAACAATCGTTATATTTTTCTGTCGATAAAATACATGTGTACATACTTATTTATCACGGACTTTTGTAGATAAAAATTATCCGTTTTGGGAATTATAAATATTAAATTAACTTCTAATTGTTGATAGTACTGTTCCAAGGATGTTGATTATTTTGACAGAGCTGGTACTTCGTTTCCTAAAATACTCGTAAAATCCAAAGTTAGGTCTGCCATTGTTATAGTCACCACTTCTTATTAGGCGACAATAAACGTATCGGAAAATTTGTTTGTTCCAGTTTACATTATCCAGTTTGATTTATAAGGGCGGTTTGTCTTAAGTAATAAAACTTTAACTGGATACATGTCGACTGAGCATACAGTATTTCATACCTGATATTGCAGTTCATCTTATAAAATTGAACAGTCCTCACTCGTCTTTATTATTTAAGCTATTTTTAAGTCATCGGCATATATAAATACCCTACAACTTATAACATTGACAACACTGAAAAATATACTAAACAACAACCCATATTTGACCCTTGAATAACGCCGCGGTTAACAGCAAAAAGTAGTGTTGATTTGGCTCTGTAAATTTCAACAAATTGTTTGCTGCCAAACAAAAGATTTGTGAAAGTCATTAATAGCTGAGGACATAATCCCACTCTGTCAAGTTTTTTAATTAAGTTGGGATTAATATTATACTTAATACTTAATAACTAAATAATGCGTCCCATCTCTAATTATAGTTAACCTTAATGTATTATACGCAACCATCTCCGTTCTTGTATAATTAATACTGATTACTTTCATTGAGTAATACGAAGGATGTAAGATTTGTGACAATATATTCCAAACATCTGACAGGTCTTCGTTGTAGTTTAAACACACTTTGAAATGAGGACGAGTGACCGCAAACCAAGATATACTGCAGATGAGATTTTTTTCCATACTTCGACTAAGGGATGTTGTTTTATTGTTTCTTCTTGGTAATAAGATTGTCTAAAGATAAATCTCATATACTTATAGTTGTATCGTCGGCATACCAAATATGTCAGTCTGATTAAGAAGATTTGGTAGATTATTTATATAAAATAAGAAAAGTACCAGTCCCGATATAAACCCCTGGGGCACACCATATTCAACATTCAATTTGCTTGATAGTTTTCCATTTGTTTTAACACACTAACTTCAGACTAAGATAAGACAATAGCAGCTTCGTAGCACTAGAATGAAAATTATAATAAAATAGTTTTCTTATTAGAATGTCGTGGGAAACACAATCAAACGCTTTACTGAGGTCCAAAAAAGAGGTGGAGTAAAATGATTTAGATTCAAAAGATGGAAAAACATTATTAGTAAAATCTAGATTTGCTGATATGGTAGCGCGACCTTTGGGAAATCCATATTGTCTGGCACTGCGATAAGATAACGTTTGCTTGTAAATAATCTAAGGTTTGATTAAGCAGTAGTTTCTCTAATATCTTGGACGAAGAGAAAGACACAATTATGCATAGTACTGGTGCTTGCCATAATAGATAGTGGAACACGACTTGCAGTAGGCAGCTTATTGACAATAGATTGTGCTCAACGATAACTTATTAATTATGAAGGTGGATAAGCCTGGTTGTCGAGATAATACGATTAAGTGGTTATTGTCGTTTCTTTTAGGCAGGAGCCAACAGGTCCGTATTGGTAATTTTTTATCTTACTCATGTGACGTCCCCTCGGGTGTTCCGCAAGATACGCATTGTGGACCTGTTCTTTTTTTATTGTTTTTAAATGTCTTAGTATGTCATTTAAGATATTCTAGTTATTTACTATGTGTTTAAACTCAGAAAATGTAAATATATTTACACAATATTCTTGTAAGGTTTTGGATATAACATTGAATACCTAATATTTAAAGAGTTTTATTTTATGTAAAAAAACACTAGATACTGTTAAAACTACACACTTAAGTCTTAGTTGTTCACCTAGTTCGAAATAAAAAACACACAATTATGTTCTTTTTTGCAAAGTAAACTGTTGTGCTTGGTTTCCATTGTCAGCCCATAACTGTACAGATATGCCAGGTCGATATTGAGCATCTACGATGTCTATGTTCTCTCCTGTGTAAACATTTGTAATACGGCCGTTCTTGTTTATAACGAATTCTTGTGTTGAATTGGTGCTCGTGCAGAGCGGTGCCGTTTTGAGGAGATACTTATTTTGTTGGTTTGGTCTGTAGTGGTAGTCAAGAGCCTTACTGAAAGTGCCATCATAGGATGAAAACATGAATTAATCTAAAGTATACCTTACCCTGTATTGTGATTAATAATATAGAAATAGCCAGCTCTGCTTGCACGCACACATTTCCACAACTGGACATTAGAACCACTAAAAGGTTGTATTTTGACTTGATCAGAGTCAGTTGCATCCAACATCAAATTATTGGAATGTCCGCTTTTTATGAGGTAGAGTTCGTTTTCTTTGTCGGAACGCATAGTGCAGTAACAATAACACGATTTAGCTAGGTATTACAGACGGTCAAGATGTACTACGCAAATGGTATTTCCTATGATGTGACAATCTCAACAGATTGTCTCCTATTTACACATGTATTTATTCAACATTAAATACATGTGTACATAGTTTTTTATCGCAGATAAAAAAAAATCCGTTTTAGAGTTGTACTGTGATTCTCTATTTCTCACCGTTCTGTATATCACAAGCTTTGTTTCGCATACTTAATGGGCCCTTTCTTTTTTGCACATTCATTTTCTTACATTTTTTCTACCTCTCTTATACACTCTTGCGTCTTGCACTCTGTTCTCTCATTCTTTTTGTCTTCATCATATCCTCTCCATGCCCACAGTTTCGATCACAGATCAGCATACCGTGCGTTCATTAATTATTTAGATCAGTGGCGGCTGTGGACGTTAAATTGATAGATTGTCTTTGATACATTCAGCTGCGCTGGTGTTTGAAACGTCAAACTTTCGAATTTTTCGAAAATAAAAATAAATACCCTTTTCAACAGTTGTTTCTTTAACTTATTCACAAATCTGCAGAAGTTATTTTTCACTAGTTTTTCTAGTTTTCAAGAAGTAAGAGCTAACCTTCGTTTGTAAATTAATTTATGTGATTATGCAAGCAACATTACACATGTGTTTGCTTTGATCTAAATAATGACCATACGGTACTTTTTACCAGGCTATTAAACTTTGTCTTTGTGTCTAAACTTCCTCGCACCCATATCACAAACAATACTACCAGACTGTGTTGTCGTGCCTACTTTTCTATCTTTCTTTATTAATGACTAGCTGTTACCCGCAGCTCTGCTTGCGTGGATTTCGCAATTAGGACACTTTATTTTTCATCTCCTTATTTATTTGTTGATTTCAATTTATATTATTTTTTAAGTTTGTGGAGTCTTCATTAATAATAATAACAATATATGTATAAAAGTTTTTGTCCTGTCCGGCTGACTGATTCATCAACAGAACTACTGGAGCTATAAACATGAAATTTGGATAAAAGGTTTCTTTCGTAATGTGAAACAAAACTATTCTAACAAAAATATAATATAATAGTAACTATACTTAATACATATATTCTATTTATTTCAACCCAATTACGGAAATAAAAAATTATAACAAAGAACAAAATTAATTTGTTACTAACAAAGTACTTCTTTGTATACCACATTCGTCGTAAGCTTTCCATGTGCTAGAATTACCAGACGACTCGCGGCACTCACTCTGGAACAGGCCACATAGAACTGTCCATGAGAAAAACAGTCTTCCATCAGGTCTATTCCGGCCATTTTCAATGTTTGACCTTGTGCTTTATTGATAGTTATTGCGAAACAGACCTTCAGGGGGAACTGCAACCTTTTGAATTCAAATGGGTATTCTGACGGTATTAAAGGTATTCGTGGTATGAATACCTTTTCCCCTTGAGCACATCCCGTGGTTATCGTGGCCTCTACAACATTCCGGTGGAGAGCCGTTATTTGCAATCTGGTGCCATTGCTTAACTTTGGAGGGTTCAGGTTCCTTAATAGCATAACTGGTGCGCCAATCTTAAGTGTGAGATTATGAGAGGGAAGACCAGCTGGGTTAAGCGTATTTAAAAACTCGACTGGATAATTTATAGCATCATCAGTTTGTACTACCGAATCCACGGATTTATATTGAATTTCTTCTCCTTCAAATGATTTTAACAAAAGATCGTTAATACCAGCCGCTCTATCATTTTTGGGAGTCAAAATAGCACGTTCGCATAACCAGTCTATGGGTTTTGCCTTGAGATTGATGATGTCGGGGTAAATTTTGTTGGTTAGTTCTGTAAGAGATTCTACTACCGTAGCCAGAGTTGGTGGTATAATAACCTTACCATCAACTGTAGGGTAATTTCCATCTCCTATTTGAAGCACAGTCTGTGCAAACTCACCAACGGTAGCATCACCTCCTAAAAGTACTCTCATATTTGTCTTTAAGGCGAGCTTCTTAATTTGGGGCCACAAATACGATGATTTTAAACATGACCTCACTTCATCGGCTCCTGTTCCCCTTGGTACGACGGGTAAGGTTTGTCGAAAGTCTCCAGCTAAGAGAACCGTAACGCCGCCCATCAAACTACCATTTTCTCTTATATCTCGCAGAGTTTTACTGAAAGCTTCTACGCCTCCTTTATGGACCATAGTGCATTCATCCCATACTATAAGTTTTGTTTCTTTCAAGACTTGCGCCATATTGCTCTGCTTTGAAATGTTGCACAGAGGTGTCTCTACGCGCATTAGATTTAAGGGTAATTTAAAAGCAGAATGCGCTGTTTTACCGCCATCTAGCAACGTGGCTGCTATGCCAGAAGAAGCAACTGCCAAGGCTATCCCGCCATTTTTTCGTACTCTAGCCAATAATAATTTTAAAAGAAACGTTTTACCCGTGCCTCCAGGAGCATCCAAAAAGAATACTTGACCAGTGCCATTCTCGATACTATCTAAAACTTGGTTGTAAATTTGATATTGTTCTGTATTTAATAAACTTTCGTTGTTGGATACTACTTGAGCCAATAAAAGTGTGTCATAGCTAATCTCTCTGAGATAGTCTCTGTTTTGTATGACTTCTTCACGTCTTACAGGCTGAGGCAAACCATAATACTCTAAACATTGTCCTCCTAAAGATAAAACCGTATCTTCAATGGAAATCAGACACTTGTTGTACACTTCATTCATAATCTGAACACTGTCTTGACACTCTGACTGCACTTGACGTTTTATGTCCTCCGACAGACTGTTTTTATATTTCTCCCATATACTTAAAGCGTCTGTTACTTTGCAAAATATCAACAAAATTGAGAACAGGTCTCGTAGTTTAAAAGGAGAATCAGTAAGAGCAGCTTCTTCCATTGTAGCATTCCACTGCTTGTCATCTTCTAGCAAACCCAAAGATTTACATGATGACTGGTATGTGGGATAAACGACACCATCAATAGTTTTTAAATCCGAGAATGATGTTGGCCTTCTCACTTGATGAAGAAGAAGACGAAGGTAGTAACATTCGGCGTTATTAGGGTGGACGGTGTACACTCTGCCCAAAGCTTGATCTTTTTTGACTCCCGGCCAACCATCAACATTGTTTCCACCTTTTCGTCTCTCAAATTTAGTACTTTTCCACACATAGTATGAAGGAACTTCAACATAGGGAAGGGTTTTTGCAAAATTATCCGTTTTGCAAAGATCAAAAAATGCTAGAAGAGTAGTTTTCTGTGGATTATTTACCTTTTCAGTCACATTATTGAAGTCCTTAGGATTAAAATAGACACGCTGGCCATTTTCCAAGTGCACTGCGAGATGAAAAACAGCTGGAAATCTTTCATGTATAGGAAAGGCCAGGATTCTTCAAACAGCTTCAGAGCTGCTAATATATCGACCACTTTCATATAATTTGACCTCATCATTGTCATTTTCAAGACCAAATGAGGCTTGGTCGGATCCTTTATTGACGTATTTGCATATATATTTAATAGATTTTACAGAGTTACAATACTCGATGTTGATGTGAGCAGCAAAAGTTCGAGACAAAACTGGATTATAGGGTACCACCCATCTATTATCTAGGGTTACACCATGGATTTCAACCGTGAATCCACCATCCGCGGGACCTCTTCGCCGATATTTAGGGTAGCCGTCGTCGCCTGTTTGGGTTTCTTTCAGGAGAATTCGAGGATATTTTTTGCTACAGCAACCTCCTTTCATACACGGGGATTTCCTCAAATTTCCGCAGGGCCCATGGATCATATTGGTTTTGATAATTTTATAAAGGATAGGATCCTTTTGAGGATCCGGTATCTCCGTACAGATAACATTATCTATATTAACCGCAGAAATTCGCTGCTCCAACCACAACAAAATGTGGATGTGTGGAAGACCTCGCTTCTGCCATTCAACGGAATACATAAAGCAACGCACTTTTCCAAACAAATTTCCTTTTGTTAGCAGTGACATAATTGCTTTAACTTTTAAATGAAATACCCGTGCTATAATGTCATGACGATCGTGTGGCTTTTGACCAGGCAGCAATGCATCTGCAATATCTTTCCATTGAGGATTGCATGTAAATGTGATGAAAAGGTCAGGGCGACCGTAATGGCGTACGTAGGTCATTGCATCTTGAGTTCTTTCATGCATATATCGAGGTGATCCAGTAAACGATGAAGGGAGTACCACCCTATTACCAAGTTGAGTAATATCGATGTCCTGCCTTCCTAAAGCATCTTTCAAATGTACATAACTATCTGCTCTGAGGTATGCTTGGTTGTGCCTGCTATAATTCAATCTTTCCGTTTCTATTTTCGCATACATATCAACTAAATATTGACTAAAAAGGGTACGATAGTATAACAATCGATTTTCGTCTTCTTCTCTGACCATGATGCGATATGAATAAAAATTTAGCGCCGATATGGTTTTTTTAAGAGATGTTTTTGTTTTAGGATCATATTGCGGTATGTCAATAGAGTAGAGTAACCATCCTCACCATAACAAAATAGGAGTGGGTATTGCAGGGCGTCATATGAGCGGTGTAACTCGCTGCTCCGATGCAATTTGTTATCGTGATTTTGTAAAACGATATCTCGCTTGTCGAACTGCTGTCCGACTATGACCAGAGCAACTTCACTCGTTGTCTGTGCATTATAACGGCCTGTGTGAGCATTGGCTGGTTTTCTATCAGCGTGAATAACGACTTCAAATTTTTCACAATCTTCGGGTACTTTTTGAAGAGTTGTTTTCAGGTCCCTTATATATGAATTTTTCTCGTGCAACATTGCTTGCAGTTGTTTGACCAGATTTGGTTTCACACCAGAGAAATTGCTGCATCTCAAATTTGCCTCTATCTCGTCTTCACCAATGAAGTAAATTTGAAGAAATTGAGGTTCTTGTTGAGGCAAGGGTAATAAGCTACCAACCAAATGATAAACCTGTCCCTGTACTTTAAACGTGGGCATAAAACCATCTTCCATTATTTTCTTAGCTCCAAAGGACGTCATCTGAAAGCAACTGTTATACTTTCTAATACCATCCATAAAATGAACCTGCTCTGGATGAAGACCCATAATCAAGCTGTGAAGAGGCTCTGGCAAGGGTTTAAATGTTGGAAGTTGTACTTTACCACCGGCGCAACACATGCCAGGAGCTTCTTCTTTCCACTTATAAGCAAGACAATGTATGCATTTGGGATTCATAGCACCTAGGGCAACAGTTTTATCAGTTTCATACGCTAATTCAAGATCATACATCATTCCAGACAAAGCTTTAACTTTCCACGGAAGCAATCGCCTTTCTGATCGTTTTCCTGGATTATTCCTTTCATGCCTAAAAACACTTGCTCTATGAACATCTGGATTATTTTGCTGGTAAGTCATCACTGCAGCGCGGTGAGCCTCTGGATTTTTCCGTTGATAAACCATGACAGCCTTACGATGAACATCCGGATTACGTTGCATGTACTTGATAGCGGCATCTTTGAGCTGTTTTTTTCTAGTTGCGTCGGTAAATCTAGCCCGGTGGTGCTTCTTTTTTTCAGTATCATTTTGAGAAATGAAACTTGGAATTAATTGATCCTCAGAAGATTGATAAACGTCGAAATGGTCATTAGAAAGATCGTGCGAAGTACTAAAACGCAATTTACATACGGGATTTTCTTCTATGCCGAATTTTTCATACAACTCTCCGTTATAATAAACCTCAAATACATATGGAAATATTTGTCCAGAAGTCACTAATTCGCACAAACCGCCATAAGTATAGGACTGTGACATTTCGGCAAGGTAGTCAGCAGCACTGTTAAAATTATTTCCATCTTTGTCGTGGGATAGGATGGAAAACTCATCCCAACGCTCTACTACGTGTGTTACTATTATCTCCCGCACCTCCCGAGCCATAACTTCAGTACCATATAACAGGTATGATATTGCTCGGAATAAGCAAGCTCCATCGCCAATAATCGGTACGACAGTATGTGGTACCATTGCACCGTTTATGTTTAAGATTTCTACAACCATATCGGAAATATTTTGACAATTCGTGACATAAAACACAACCGTCAACGCCGTATGGCCTCACGCGTCCGACCGCAGACCGCGTTCGCATCGCAGTCGCTTACTCGGTGACGTCGCGGCCTCTCTATTTCCATACAACTTCTTAAATTTTAAAAGCTTAAGACTGATTTTTCCAATAACTCTACCACGTACAACTGAAATACGCTTTACATTATTTGTGTTGAACAGCATTAATATCAAGTTCCACGCAAAAATTTACAATAGAAATATTTTTCCCATACACAATTAGACACCGCTTTTCACCCCCTTAGGGGTTGAATCTCGGAAAATGCTGAAATACGTGTTTCGTTATCTGTATTGAAGAGCATTAATACCAAGTTTCACGTAAATATTTACAACAGAAATGGTTAGGAAATAGTCTTCCTGTACAAACTTTACCAGCGCTTTTCACCCTTTTAGGGGTGGAATTTCCCAAGTTCCTTTCTTAGTGGGTGTTTACATCACAAAAGGAAACTATTGTCCAAATTTCATGTTTCTAGCTGCAGTAGTTTAGGCTCTGCGTTGATGAATCAGTCAGTCAGGACAAACAATTTTATATGTATAGATAGATAGTCGTCTTTAGTCGCCTTATTTTTTCTCTTCATGGTCAAATTTATTTCACCTCTTTATATATCCATGCAGTTGCTACGTTACTACCAACTACCAACCTCAAATAGTACTAGGTGGCTCAAGTCACACAAACCTCAAACCTCCGAAATGGCATCTACATTGTCCGTCAGAACACGCAATGTTAGAGACCACGCCTGCGAATTAGACTGCATCAAGACCGTCGACACCTTAATGGATTACATAAACAGCGGCTACCTCGTAAAATTTCGTCGAAAATTTCGCTGCATGTGTCTTGTGAGCGAAACCAACCCCGAAAGCAAAATGTTCTTCAAATCAACGAGTCAAATCAACGAAGAACAGATCAGACATCTCAAGAAATTTTACTACATGATCCATCCGTTCAGCGAGGTCCGAAGAATATGGGAAGGCGTCATGATCAACGTCTACCTTCTTCAAATGATGCTCTTGGTACCTCTCGAACTAATCTTCGTTTTTAAAACCCCTATGATTATCTACGTTCCGAAATTTGCGTTGGACATTGTGAGTTACGTGGATATCGTGATGAATTTCTACACAGGATACGTAAAGCGGGCAAATCAGGTGGTGGTACTGAGTAGGAGGGAAGTCGCAAAGCAATACTTATTGGGAAGTTTGTACATCAATGGGTTGTTCTGGGTCGATGTCCTGTCTTCGATTCCGTTCACGATCATCATGTATATTTTCGACAGGTAAGTCCGGTATAACGGATACTGGAAAATTGTTAATTTTCTCTTACTGTTTTCCCAGACACGATTTGTACTTTCTCAAGGTCTTCTTCTTCCTCAAGTTGTTCCGAATACCCACGTTGTCCCGCTTTATCTACCATTACTTCTTGCGGCGCAACTTCTGGACGACTACCCTAAGGTTCGTCCTGCTCCTCATCTGGTTTCTCATCGGTATATTCTGGCTGTGCGCTTTCGCGGTCTACCTCATGCACTTCACCACCGACAACCTCGACTTGTACAATAAAGACTTTTTCGCCGCAACTTACTTGCTGGTAAACGCTTGTACCACCCTGGTGGAATGCGTGATGCTGGTGGGCCCAGACCCCATGGACCTCAACACACCTTGGGAAAAAAAAGCCCTCGTCATCATATTTGTCATTTTGGGTATTTTCGTCAACTTGATCATCTTGTCCCAAGTACTGAGCTTCTACCAAGCCAGGAACGCAGCCCAGAACAAACACCAAGAACTCTTGCAACAGATAGACCAGTTCTCCCGGTACAAAGAGATCCCGCCGGACCTACGCGACAAAATTGTGACCTACGTGGATTTCAACTACCACAGGAAGATCTTGAAGGAGGCCGATGTGTTGAAGACCTTGCCGGTGTTTCTGCGCGAAGAGGTTATGCTATTCAAGTGTCAGGGTATAGTGGAGAGAGTCGACTTCTTCAAAACCCTTCCAGCGAAGCTGCTGCTGCAGATAGTGACGAAGCTCAAGGCTGAGATTCATCTCAAGAATGAGGTTATTTTTCAGGTTGGAGGCGTGGCGAATTGTATGTATTTTATTTCGGTGGGATCGGTCGATATTTTTTCGCAGAATGGAATGAAGGTGAGTGTTGTTTTGTGTTGGGGCTCATTGTTGGTCTTTAGGTACTAACTTTTGGTGAAGGGAAGCATATTGGCGATGTAGGCGTCATGGCCAACACGAGAAGGACGTTCACGGCTATGGCAGCCAGCGACTGCGAGTTGCTGGTTTTGAAGAAGACTGACCTTATGGACATCTTGCTACCGTATCCTCAGTTAATAGACCGCCTGGCGTCTATGGCGTTGAAAAAATACGAAAAATTGGTGTTAATGTTGCAAGAATTGTCCGGTGGGAAACGCCAGTAATAGATTTGTTAACTTTTTTACTTAGTTTGAAGAATTGTTGTAGTATTTTTGGTATTGGTAACAATAGAATTAATAAAATAAAAATTTCGATTCTTTAGATTTTCGGGTCATGAAAAGCATCTCAGACACCATCGATTCTAACTTTTGAAAAAGCCCGTAACTTTGGAAATCCGTTGTTACATTGTCAACCGACTTATAGGTGGCTCAAGTCACTCAAACTTCAAGTTTTCCAAAATGGCCGCTTTTCTCAAGGCTACAAGTCGCAAAATTGTCGACCATCCTTGCCAGTTGGAGTGCACCCAAACCATAGACACTCTAATCGCATACATAGATAGCGGCTACTTCGTGAAGCAGCGCCGCCAGTTTAGAACTTTGTGCTTAGTAAGCGAAACTAGTCCTTTAAGTAAGACCTTCTACAAGTCGTCGAGTGAAATCCACGAAGAACAGCTAAGGCAGCTGAGAAAATACTACTACATGATCCACCCAATGAGCGACTTTCGTATTTTCTGGGAGAGTTCTATGATTATCGCCTACCTTCTTCTCTTGACCAGTGTGATTCCTTTAGAATTAACCTTCATTTATGACACACCTCCACTTATAATCGCCATAAAGTTCCTTTTAGATCTTATTTGCTACATAGACGTTATCATGAACTTTTACACTGGGTATGTAATCAAACAAACTAGAAAAGTTGAATTGGATCCGAAAATGATCCTTCAGAATTACATATTTGGGAAACACTATGTTGATGGGTTGTTCTTGGTTGATGTTTTGTCTTCGATACCGGTTAGTTTCATCATGGCTGTGTGTGCCAGGTAAGTGCAATTTTTTTTTTTTACTACTACGATTTGAAACCAACCAAATCCACTAACCCCAGTTTCTCCCCAAGGCCCGATCTCTACTTGTTGAAATTGTTCCTGTTCCTCAAACTCTTCCGCCTCAGAACCATGTTCCGCTTCATCCACCACTACTTCCTGCGGCGCAAGTTCTGGGGCGCCCGCGTCCGCTACTTCCTCCTCTTCGTCTGGTTCCTTCTCGGCATCTTCTGGCTATCCGGTAGCACTGTGTTCATCATGGGCATCGTTAGCGACACAACGGAGGAAATAATATACAGCAACATCTACGACCAAGCCAGGAACATGGTCGACAGGTGCACCGTCCTCATAGAATGCGTCATGCTCGTAGGACCCGACTACATGGACGACAAAGTCACCGACGCCTACAAACTCCTAACCATCTTCTACATTATCCTGGGGAGCTTCATCAACATGATCATCCTATCCCAGATAATTAGCATCTACAAGAGTCGGTTCGCCGCCCGGAACAAGCACCGGGAGCAAGTGCAGGAGATCGAGCAGTTTACTAGGTTCAAGGGGATCTCGCCGGACTTGAGGGACTCGATTATCGCCCACGCGGACTTCAAGTACCAGAGGAAGATCCTGCGGGAAGCCGAGATCATGAATACCTTGTCGGAGTTCTTGAAAGAGGTGAGTGTGTGAAGTGAGGCAAGCGGTGAAACGGGGTCGGTTTTAGGAAGTTATGATGTTCAAGTGCCAGAATTTGGTGGACAAGGTGGACTTTTTCAAGGATTTGCCGCCGCCGCTGAGGATACAGATAGTGCGGAAGTTGAGGCCGGAGGTGTACTTGAAGAACGAGGTGATTTTTCCGATTGGGAGCATCGGGGTTTCGATGTTCTTTATCTATGTGGGGTCGGTTGGAATCTACTCGAGGACTGGAAGGGAGGTAAGAACTAGAGTAAAGCTTGTAATAGCGGCTGGTAGAGAACGAAAACGGAATTTAGTCTTCGTACGTCAATCGTTAGCAAAGCATTTGCCACTTTTTGGGCAGCATTTTGATCTTTCATCAATAACGAACTTTGTTTCCTCTAAATAAATAGTTTTCAATCAATCATTCAATCATTAATCGACTTATTAATGTAACAATCGTCTTCTGGATTTAATTTTTCCAATCTTAATTATTGTTCTATAAATAAAACCTCTTCTCCATTAGTTGATGAAGATCGACATTATCTTCCTCTGTGTATAAACATTAACAAGATTTTCTTAGGTACCTACACTCTCACGATGCGTTAGTAAATGAAGAACGGTACCATCCTTCTATTAATATCTGTATTCCATTTATAACCATGATCACATTTCTTTCATAGGACGTTCTGATACTGCTTGCTACAATTTTCGCAAAGCAGATTTTACAAATTTGTACTATCAAATCTCATTAGTTGACTGGTTTTTTCTAAATGAGTGTACATATCCTAATACTGCTTATCAATCTTTTTGTGACACATTGTATAGTCTTCTGGATACTTTTGTTCCTAAATACAAGGCAAAAAAAATTTTTTCCAGTATGGTTCACGCCACAAATTATTCATGACATAGGTACCTACATAAGAAAAATCGTCTAAGGAAAAAATGTACAAAATACGGTCATCCTTGTGATTTAGATTCGTTTAGAAAGCTAAGAAGATCAATAAAACAAGAAGTGTCACGATATCCAAAAAAATTCTTTCAGTACATAAGGCATAAAGGACGTGGCACAAACTTACCTTCAAGCATGACATTTGGTGGAGCTAATGTCTGGTGCACATAATATAGTAGACTCGTTTGCCAAATATTTTCAGTCATCATTTAATGTCATAGATGATAATAGTCAGTTGAAAGGTTCATCAGGAAGCTTTAGTAAGAATGTTACAATGACGGAGGTGAGTTCTGAACATGTTTTCAAAGTTATAAAAAGAGTAAAAGCAAATCATTTTAAAGAACCAGATGGGATCCCTGCTTTCTTTGTGAGAGATTGTGCTGCATTCGTTCTGAAATTTTTCCGAATATTTGGAAAATAGCTAAAATTATTCCAATCCATACAGATAAAGATCGTGCATGTATTGAAAACTATAGGCCTGTTTCCATTATCAATAATTTTTCCAAAATATTCGAGTTCTTAGTTTACGACCAAGATTAATAATTATATTACACCTCACCAACACGGTTTTATGCATGGCAGATCCGCAACCACAAATCTTTTCTGCATTACTCAGTTTATTCCTGATTCCATTGATGACAGTCTGTTGTCAAACTATTGTCATTTAGAGGAAAGGTGCCTAAAATGATCCCCCTAAGGGAGAAATTCTTTAAAAAATACAAATTATTATTATTCATGTAAAACTGTAGCATTATTTGTAAGAACTTGATTTATCTAGGTGACAGTATAAGCCAATTGGTGATTCGATAATTATAAAAAAAGTTATTAACGTTTTTCCAGGACCTTACAAAAGGATCATTTTAGGCATCCCCATAGGTAAAATGATCCCTCGGCATGGGCATAATGATCCCTTTGAATTTTGACCATAACGGGACAGCATCAACAAGAAAAATCAAATCATGACATAACTGATAAATATTTTATTTCAAAAATTAACAAAAAAATAAATTCTTAAAAAAAAATAAACAAAAAAGTTTGAAAAGCACCGAAAATACGGGGTGTATAATTTCTGGAAGAGTTTGAGACAATACTTTAGCCATCAGTACGTGCTAAGATAAGACTAATTTTGCCAAATGGGATACCCTCCAAGAAAAGAGAGGGCGGGTGGGCGAGCCTACTACCTGCTAAGATAAAACTGAATTTGGCAAATGATATACCCTCTAAGCAAAGAGAGGGTGGGTGGGTGGGACTAGTTACTGCTAAGATAAAACTGAATTTGGCAAATGACATACACTCTAAGAAAAAAGAGGGTGGGTGGGTGGGGTTAGTAAGTGCTAAGATAAGACTGAATTTGGCAAATGATATAGCCTTTAAGAAAAGAGAGGGCGGGTGGGCGGGTCTACTAACTGCTAAGATAAAACTGAATATGGCAAATGATATACCCTCTAAGAAAAGAGAGGGTGGGTGGGTGGGGCTAATACTTGCTAATATAAAACTGATTTTGGCAAATGAGATACCCTTTAAGAAAAGTGACGGCGGGTGACTGGGATTAGTACCTCTTAAGACTGAGAATTTCCCAAAAATAGAACACGAAAATCCCCAAAAATTCTTTTAAATTATTTAAATTTACCTATCTTAAGAGGTACTAGCTCCACCCACCCTCCCTCTCCTCTCTTAGAGGGTATTTCATTTGCGAAAATCAGTTTTATTTTAGCAGGTAGTAGGTGGGTGGGGCTAGTAACTGCTAAGATAAAACTGGTATTGGCAAATGGTATTCTCTCGAAGAAACTAAAGGGTGGGTGGGCGGGGTTAGAGGATATGTCATCTGCAAAAATCAGTCTTATCTTGGCAGGTAGTAGGCCCGCCCACCCACCCTCTCTTTTCTTGGAGGATATGTCATTTGCGAAAATCAGTCTTATCTTATTAGGTACTAACCCTCTAACAAGATAAAGGGCGGATGGGCCGAGCTAGTGCTTGGCAAGATAAGCTGATATTGGCAAATAACAAACATTCTAAGAAAATAACGGGCGGGTGGGTGGGGTTAGTACTTGCTAAGATAAAACTGATATTGGCAAATGGTATTCCCTCAAAGAAAATAAAGAGTAGGTGGGCGGGGTTAGAGGATATGTTATCTGCAAAAATCAGTCTTATCTTAGCAGGTACTAGCCCCGCCCACCCACCCTCTCTTTTCTTAGAGGGTATATGATTTTGCAAAAATCAGTCTTATCTTAGCAGGTACTAGCCCCGCCCAATGATCCGGGATCATTTTGCCTCAAGAAAAAGTGATCATTTCGCCTTAGGTAGCATATCCGCATTCAAAAATTGTAAACTAACCTTCAATTTTTACATGCGGTAAAAAGATCATAACTAACCTACGACTGAAATGTATCTAATTCTGTCAAAACAACTACCACCGCTATAAGACCTTTCAAATGGAAGTAATGGACTTTTAAAATATATCTTACCTTAGATCAGAGGTGCTTATTTTACATATTTTGGCACAAAACTGTGCAGAATACACAGAACGCCATCAAACTTTCAGAAGGTACTAATTACAGAGCGCTTAATCAAATGACAGTTATGTTTGGTAGATGGAGCCACAAATTTTCTTACAATTGATGGGGATCATTTGATCTGAGGGGATCATTTTAGGCACTTTTCCCCTATTTGGATAACTCAGAAGCGTTTGGTAGTCTCTTGATTAATAAACTCAGTGATTTCGGTTTTTGTCCTAGGCTTATTAAACTTTTCACGTCATATTTGCATAAGAGGAAACAGTTCAGGATTCACTCCTCAGCCCCTCGTATATTCACCGACATATTACAATTCAAAAGAAACATCTTAAAAATATGAAAGAAAAGACACTTGCGAACTGACAGACATACACATATGAAAAACGAACAAACACAAAATCCTATACAGCTGCTTGGAATCACTGCAAATATTTGAATATCACAAATTTAATAAAAACAATGCAAAATCTGAATTAAAGTAACTGGATGCAAATACCCAAGTTATTAGGCAGATTTTAAAGGAACGGCAGTTAACAGGAGCACAACAAAAGTACCACTGGGGCGTTCTAGCTCAAGCGGAGTTTGGGGCTACCGGTCGGGGCTGTTCTCCCCCCTCGACGGTGATTTTATCTATCGCAAGCCTACCCGTACAGCATATTACACGTCTCTAGGACGAACATGCCGTCCGAAGCTAGGCCGTTACGATCGCAGATCCGCAGTTAGATCTAGACTATTGGGCCAAGTCGAGAGCACTACAACATCGCAACCGCCCCTGAATCCATCCAAACCTGTACCCTTTGTGAAGGCGACGCGATAAGATCTCGCCAGCTCGACTAGTTATTTAACCTCAGTTCCATTTTTAAATGTTCAATTTCTTATAACTCTGATATTAACAACAACTGAACAAGTTTCAAAGAGCAATAAACAACATTTAAATTCGCCATACAATCTTGTGAGCTTTTAAACAACAAATAATTCTTATGTAAGATTAAAATTGGACATCAAATAATTTACACGATGGAAACATATGAGGTAAAAAATTGCAAAGTTAACAAAATCTACATGAGATTAATATTTGCCACACTTTATCAACGATTCAAACAAAGAGTTTACATTATGTCCAATTATATCATGATCTAAGTGATTGGTTACGAAAAAAAAGCGATTTACTTTGAGACTTTAGAAAACACATAATAAACAGACACAAAAATATCCAATCATCGTTGCGAGGAAAAAGCATCTCGGTGCTGTAATTTGATGGTTGCGAGGGAATACCTTAATGATGTATATTTTTAGCGTTGCGAGAAATAAGGCTCGTTGATGTTATCAATCTCTATCGTTGCGAGGACATGCCTCGATGAAGTAATCGATCTGTAGCGTTGTGAGGACATGCCTCGATGAAGTAATCAATCTGTAGCGTTGTGAGGACAAGCCTCGATGATGTAATCAATCTTTAACGTGGTAAAGACATGCCCCAGTGATCTAGATAACGATGATAACCGCCTAAGGGAAGAAATTATTTTAACCCCCCGTCAGTTCTCAGTATAATGAATTTTGTTTAACTGCCGTAAATGAACTATTAGCAAACTTGTGTGAAGAATTAAGAAGAAGTGTTATAATGTAACACTTGTATATGCACCCAGAAATCTATTCGTAATTAAACAACAAAAGTGTTTTCCTGACTAAGTGAATTTCATGAAATCTTCTGGCAAATGGTTTATTAAATAATCCTGATTGCACTAGCTGGCGATTAAGAAAAACCAACTTGATTGGTGAATTTACAAACAATAAAAC